ATGGAGGCAAAAAAGTTGGCATTTGTGGTACCAAAGTCTGTATATGCCTACTTTTCTCTGACTAAACAGAAGGGTGAGGTATAAACAAGGCACAAATGTTTTTTTTTGTTTGTTTGTTTGTTTGTTTTTTTTGTTTTTTTAAATTGTCTTTGTAAAACAGGCTGTAGAGAGACCACATCACCCTACCCATGTACATCACCACCTGGTTTTGGTTTCAGTGCACAGTGAGGCACAAGTTAGCAAAGCTGCTGTAGCTCTTTTTTCGTGATGGCTCAGTACTGGGGCATGAAGCGTGTTTTTTTTTATTAACATAGGCTTTGTCCATACACAATGGTCCTTTCAAATGTAAAGTGTGAGTCACCAAAGAACAAGATCTGTAAAATTGGGTAGTGTATGCCTGCTTTGGGGGACTTTCAACTACAACTCAACCACCCGAACAACCAGGCAAAAAGACTCTTAACAACACATAAAACTCGAAATGTGAGCTTTTCTGATGCATTAACTTTAGATGTGTTTACTGACGTCACAGTATAAGATAGCTATCTGGACACATAATTTAAAATCAGCTAGATTTTAATTATTTAACTTTTGTTAAATTTTGGTATTGGTATCGGCTAAATATATATATATATATAGATATATATATATAGATATATATATATATAGATAGATATATATATAGATATAGATATATGTACACACACACACACACTGTTGATCTGCTGCTGCTCAAGCTGTTTAAACATGCAAGAGAGCAAGAAGTTTGTAATCATTTCTCATTTTCACTACCATTCAAATTATTTGTTAATTTCTTTGTTAATTCTTTGTTATTCGTAGATCTTGTCCATATTTTGGTTCTATTCGACAAAATGTTTGACTTTTTGTCTCACTTGTGTGTGTTTGTGCATGTGCGTGTTAGCCATTTCTGGCTGAAAATTTTCGATGGCTGAAATTTCAGTGCCCCTAACACACACACACACACACACACACACACACACACACACCAGATAAAAGACAAAATATTGCATTACTGTAGAAACTTGTGCTGTCCCTGTACAGGGTGAGCTGAATGGAACAGAGTATGGAGGACAACAGAGAGAAAAAGAGGGGAAAAAAAGATAGACAAGGATGGTATGTGAACAGATGGATGGACATGTCACCTTCATTTTGAAGCCAAGGAGACAATGAGAATAAACAGCGAGGCCGAACACAAGCAGCCGGATAAAAACGTATGGAGAGCCTGAGTTAATTTGGCACTTTTGGAAGACAAGGGCTTTCATTCCGAAGGCTAAAATATGAACAGTACGGTATGAGTCACACTGAGCCACACTGACAGATCCTTTCTTCTTCCAGCACAGCCATAAATCCACATGATTTAACAGTCCTGTACCATCTAGTCACCAGCTAACAGACCAGAACAGATGTGTCTATACTTCTCATGAAGCAACATCAACATATACTACTGAAGTGTGCTCTAAAAATGCACACTGACATTCAGTTCATTGTGATCTTACATCATGACCTAAAACCAGCAGCCAATGTGGCAAGTGGCAGACTGGGGACTTTCATCAAAACAAAATCACCCTGATATGTCTCTCTGCAGGACTGCATGCCTAATTTGGAATGAGGTGAAAATATACATCTTAAGAACAGAAACATGCAAGTGATCTGTGGAATAAAAGCCAAGAGACATACACAAAACCACGTCTTACAAATAAAATATAGCTTCAAATTTCAAGCAACATAATACTGTTTAGACTTAGAGCCACTCTTGTGGAATGAGTCCTTGTTCTTGATGGATGTCTGTTACATTTCAAGCAAACAAAAGACAGTCAGGGAATTTAAACAAAAACCTGTAGTACAGCCTGTCTGGAAATCAATAACCAGAGGGAAAGGATTTTGGAATCTCTTTCACTGAGTCAATAAAAATAGTCTGGCATGTCTCTGAAAGAAATACTCCAAATTGATTCTCATTAATATATATTTAATGTCAGAAAAACTTGGCAAGTTAGCAAATGTCTTGGCTAAAGCCAGTGCCGCTCACTATAGGGTGGTCAATATGGGAGATGGACTTTCTGCTGACAAAAACGATAGGAACTGTCACACCCAGCGAGATACCACTGTTCGATTCCAAAGATAAAATTTTCTGTCAACTCAAGGCGTCTGGTGCCGAAACTAGATGGAATGTAGAAGACAAGAAGGCTCCAGAAAAAACTTCTCTGTCAGAAAGTCTTGAGCGAATTCTCTGAGGCTCAGAAGAAGAAGAAGGGGAAAAAAAAAACAAAAAAACGACCAAATACATCATCGCTCACCCTCACAACAACGAGTAATGAAATGGACATTAGTACCTGCCAGTTACAAAATCAACCCACTGTGGCAGGACGGACAGAAAAGGGGCTTCATTTCTAGCACTGATTAAAATATTTTGAGCTCACAATGGACACAGTGACCTCCTGCACGCTTTCTTTGACTGAAGCAGACACCAAGCTGAAAGAGAGGAGTGAATGTAGTTGAACTTTCGTTTCTGGGATGGTTTGAGAGCTGTAGCCCGTCTGCCGATGAAGCCTGGTACCTTCATCTGCTTTCAGAGAAACCCAGATGGGTGATTAATGACAAATTCCAGGTGTTAATTGGACTGTGTAAGAAACTGCAGATTTATTCTGGGAGGTTTTCTTCAGCACTTTGAGACAGTCTTCACACAGAGACTCGAGATTGGTGCTGTGGTGATGGAAATCTAATAAAAGATGCTTCAGATGGACTTTTGCAGTGGATGGATTTGTTTACTTTTGCCATGACAATTTCCAAACTGTTATCTTCAACGTACAAACAATATTCATAAATTCTAGGCTTTTTGTCAGTAATTTTTGTATCTGCTCTTTGGGAAGACATGAATGGAACAGACATTTTAGCTAAAACAACAAATGCTGAGTGTGAAAAAACATTCTGAGGACACTGAAGTCTACATTTAGTGTGCTATAACCTTAAACAGGAGCAGTACAGAAGAATGATTCATTGTGTTCATTTCTATATTTAATGTGCAATAAATAGGAACAGATGTACTATATGAGCATAGTAATGTGTATTACACTGCACAACTGCACAGCTCCCCTTGTCATGCTACATGTTTTGTTGATTTAAAATAAGTTAAAATCTTCTCTACATGGAACAAGCTTAAATATGACTTTTCTCTGCAGAATTAAGTTTACTATCTCTGTTTATTTGAGTTTAACACAGTGGAAAAAAAAATTCTAACTTTTGCACAGGCCATATTTTAACGTCACAACACGCATATTAATACATACTGATGTGCACCTCTATTCAGTTGTAGAGTCCACCCTTATTCGGTTGTGAATTCCGTAGAAGAGCCACACTTTATATACAGAGACTATATAGACTGTACCTGAACATGTACTCCTTAGTTCGTTTATACCGAGTTGTAGTCTTACAGTTTACCGTTTTTGTTTACTTTTATATACATATGGCACTTTTGATTACATTTTTCATTGTTTACTTCATGTCTTCTAAGAAAATGAGCTGTGCAGTTATCTCTTAACAAGCACTGGTGCCTTTTAGAGAAACTACTTTTTTGGAAATTACAAAAAACAAATAAAGAGAAAAAAAAAAAAAATCTTTTTGGGAATTAACCCCAAACATTCAAAAACAAAAAGCATTTCTTTGGTCATTTTGCATTAAAAATACTTCATATCGTGATGCAAAAATGACAATATGTACTGTAAAATTTGCGCATTGTTACACCCCTATAAATATATGCGCATTTTCCTAGGCAATGAACCATAAGTTTATGTAAAATTATAAACTTGTTTCAAACCCGAATCTACAAGATCTTGATTTAAAATCAGCCACTTCAACTTTCAACGTGTCACTAAACGTTTTATTCGGAGTGGTCTAACCCCGGTCATTAAAATGCAAAAATGTGACCAACTTTGAGGGAAGCAATTTCAAACGTGCAATAAGGAGAAATGTCCTTTAAAATTGTATTAAATATTAAAAGAATATTACTTGGTGGAAGTAGTTTTAGTTTAGCAATGGTCATGTGAACTGAAAGCTCATGGTGATCCTTCAACTGTGAAAAACAGCTTCCTTTCTTATTGCACTTTTAACATCGCAAGGGTTGTTCAATAAAACACTCAACTTAATGAGCCCTATACTTGTATATGTGACTAATTACAGAGCCAAAGCAGCAAGCGAGAGCGATGGTAAGTCCCGCTGGACACAACAAAGACCAAACAATGAACAGCACACTCAAACCCTTCAGGAAGCCTGAGTTCATCTGAAAACCCCTGATGAAAGCATATGAAAGCCTCTTTTCCTATGTTCTTCTTGCTCTCTCACTAGGTAGAGGGCTCGATGAGAAAAGAACATTAATAAAACAAAACAAAACAGACAACAGTGTGAGTGTGCGGTGTGTGGAGCAAGGCTGGAAATTAGAATGTGAGGTATTTATAATTCATGTTATTGTCTTCTGTAGCAACCACACAACTGATAAAGCTAGTTCGGAGCAGAGGCTGTGTGCATGCCCCTGCCATTTACATCTTTGGAGTGGGGGGGCCCACTTTTGAGTGCCGTTTCTAAGCAACCGTAGGGAGGGGGGCACATAGAGAAAAATGTCAAAGTTCTTGTGAAAATTATCTGCTTTTTTCTTTAATTCTCACATCTGTCATCCCTCCGCCTCAACCTTCATTTTCTTCATGTTTACATTATAACTCTATTATTTTGGACAGTAGTTTAATTATACTCTTTATTGCTTTAGCAACATTATACTTATATTGTCACGCCAGTAAATCTTCCACAGACTTGAAACAGAACAAGAAAAACAGAGAAACTAAAGTGACAGAACTAAGATAACGACATTATGTCCTGTAGCAAAAAGTGGCGATCCAGGATTGATTCTTGACTTCAGCTCTTAAAAAACACATCTAAAGACATAAAAGAACTAGGATCAAAAATCCTGACTGAAGCAGGTTGCAGGCTGTACTTACTTGTTCTGCATTGTGTTCATGATGACCCAGTCAGCAGGGTAGACATTCTTTCCAATGAGGTCTTTGAACATGATAAATGTTTCCATTAAGAAGTCCTGTAAGAGAGAAAGGAGCTGTGAGATGGGTCATGCTTCTCTACAACCTGGAATGAGAGAAGCACAGACAAATATGGGACATTTACAAATTCCCACCAAGTGTATATCAAAGATCAACCAACAAATAAAGAAGAACTATACACTTCGGCCAATGATTGTGCATCATCAGTAACTTTCAAGCTTCAACACTACAGTTTCCCATTTTAGTGTGGTCAAGCTTGTCTGAAGCACTACAAACACTTGCAAACACAGCCTGCATCTGTGCCACAGCCAGAATGAAGAGGAGACTGCAGCCAAATCCAGTCAATCCAAAGCACTGCAGAAGGACCGTCTGCATCACTGTAATAGGCTCAGCAGCGATAAACAACTCTCCCACCTCCAACTATCTATGGACACAGCCTTTAAATTACAGACTGCCATGAGTATACAGCTGCTGCAATGGTGTCTAACGTGAACATCTAATAGTCTATCCTTAATGAAAACATTAAACAATACACTGCATTACAATTCCGCAATGATACCTTTAATTATGCATCAGTGTTAATTGAATATTAGAGTAGAGCAAAGCATCGCAGTCAAGGCTGTAACTTCATGGCTTCTCAACTTAATTATATTCTTAATTACTAAATATATTTAACTGCAACTGAAAACTACAGGATAATAGGAGTAGCAATAGTTTTTCTTTTTGAATTGCATGACTTCAGCAAATATACGACTAAACTTTAAAACTAAATCTAAAATATGTTTGCATTTCAACTTGAAGTTATGCACTGTAATATGACATAACAGCAACAACAGTAATAACTGTTTAAATGATGCATTCATCTAACTAAGCTGTGGATCTGTTAATTTAACATTTCGATAGTGGGAAATGATTCCCATTGTAAGTAGTCATATGTGCCACATATTATGTAGGTAGCCAGCTACCTCGACACTTTTAAACTATTACAAACAAAACAAACTTGCCAGAAGATTGTTTCCCCCAATTTGAGATACTAGAGAATGAAAAAGAAGCAGTTCCTGTCAATGTATATACTTTCTCCTCTTCAAATTGATTGGCTGTCTCAAAAAATTGTTGTTGAATAGTTTTACCACAGAGCAGCAACATGATTATTTCAGAGAGTGGTACCTAAATGGTTGACACAGAATACCACAACAACTGTCAGACATAAATAAATAAATAAATAAATAAATAAGTGAATAAATCTGTATTTTATCACTTTTCCAGACAACAGAAAGAACATCAAGAAGAGCTTCCAGAAACTAATCCAAGCTCAGTCAGGACGCATTGCTTTTTAGAGAGGATTTAGGTACCATGCTCAAGAAATCAGACTAATGTACGAGATGCTCCTGAGGCTTGGCTGTAGTCTCAAATCCTTCTCCCTCCCACACAGAGATACAGAAGACCAAACTCACCACTACGTCCGTCCTCATCTTGCCAAAGGTGTTAATCAGGTGAGTGTAGTGATAATCGTCCATTTGCCGGAGTGTGGCCGTCATGCTCGCCACAAAACTGCCCTGCGGAGAGATAGAGAGAGAGAAAATAGTATCATTAAAAAGGAGAATAACTTGCTTTATACACGGCATCTCGCAATGAAACTGCTATCACAACCAAAGAGCTACTACAAAGCTATCATGGAGTAAAAGCAGTAAGTGTTCTGTCTCAAGAACACAACCCACCCAAGCAAAACAGCACCCATTAATGTCAGCAGCACAACACAAAAGACCAGGAGATTCTCTCACATTTAACAATCTTTACTGAACCACTTTTCACAGAAGTAAGCACTAGTCAATTTAACAAGTACGGGGCATCACTCAGGGATTATTTCACACATAATGAACCTTTAATGTTTAGAGTTAGCACCCATCTTGCCTCCCTTCTCCAGCACTGCCTTGAGACAACTCACCCCACTACACTGTTAGAAATAAAGGTTCTTTGCAGGTACATTTATCGTTCATCAAGGTACAAACAATGTAAATGTTCCCTCAAAGGTACAACAGTGGTTTTAAGGTCCAGTGTGCCTTAAATAAGTTTTTCCCAGGTGAAAAGTGAGTAATTGTACCTTTTCATAACCTAATGTTTTAAAACAGAACAATAAAATAAAATCCTGGAGACGAGACGGGGTGTGTGGAGTCGATACAATTAGAAAGTATAATTTCAATGGATTATGGTACAGTTACGTTCCCTGACTAAAGGTATTGAGATGTAACCTTGAGGGTACCACCCTAGTGACAGTTTAGTACGTTTTTTTTTTCTGGGAGTGTACAGAAAATAAAAAAACAAGGATTTCTAATGCTGAAATTTTGCCTAGGTCTGCAAAACCCATGCAGTGCTGCAGTGAATGGCCAGTCCAAAGCAAACACTTTGACACAGTTTAGGCGCAGTGTGAAAGAAATGAACAGACTAACATGAACAGTATACAGTGGGGCAGGTTTATATAGCCATTTAGCATTCACAATTACCTGCACACGCAATTTCAGCATGTCGATCGATAAGTGGAGGATGAAAAATGCAACAGGCAATCGCTTGCTCTCTTCGGCTAAATGCTTTAACAAATTAGATAAAGTTTTCCCAAGATAAAGCGAAGCCTGTTTCTTCCAGTCAGGAGAATTAAGTTTCATAACAGTAATGAGGAAGTGAGAGACAAAGGACGTGAGAGTGAAGGAAAAAAAAAAATAGAGTGGGAGAGAGATAGAGGGAGAAGAAGTGAGGGAGGGGGATGGGGGGTGGGGGTGGCTGACACCTCTGCTTTCTGCTTCAACTTCTACTAGGTCTAATTAATGCAGCAGGGAGCACCCGGTGGGACAATAATAAAAACTGTTCTCTCTCAGATATTAAAGTAAGAAGGCGTTGATATTACATGCAATTAACACGAGATCAATCCATGCATGAAGCAGTGTGAAAACTAGAAATAGAGGAGTGAATTTGCACAATTAAGGCTGAGACATTATGAACGATGGGAATAAATCAATGTTCGTTATCGCTGTATGTCTACCCTAAGACACGTGGGGACTACCCCTGAGTGTTTACTTTCCATTACCTCCAATTTTTCACTCAATTCAAAATAGCCACATTCTGAGTTCTGAACTTTAATTCCATCTGAACTGATAGAGGCCTTGTTTATTAATTTTGGCAGAAAGGGAAAAAGGAAAATCAAGCCTGTGTTTAGTTATTTTATGTTAAACTAGGTTTAGCATGAACGCATAACTTGTTTTTGTGCCTGTTACTCTTACGTAATTTAGCCCTTCATTTCCCTAAATATTTGATCAACTTTTAATGGAAAATTCAAATTACTACAGTGTCAACAAAGCCTAAGAGAGTCAGCTCTTTTTATATGACACCCCCAACTGCACTCATCTGCTTCTTGTCTCTGCAAAACTGGCAATATCTTTGGTAATAACGCTACAGACAAAAGGTGACAGAACATTCCAGAGAGGCACACAGGCTTCAAAAGCCGGCACTTAGATCTGTAACCCCTCCACATTGTAACTGACATGGCTCTTACATTTTTTTCACGGTTGTTTCTGTATTTTTCTGCTTTTGTTTCATTTGTGAGTCTATCCTGCAGCGGTAATTAGGAATGGCCTACATAGCTCAGCAGAAGCAAAACACAAGCATGAGCATATTCCTGCTTTTCTCTCTTTTTCTCTCAGCAGGAACATACTTAAAAAGAATGTCCTTCCGTCATACAGCTCTCTGCAAGCCTTTGCTGACACATTTTGTGAACACAAACAATCTGATATGTGCTTTTGCTCGCTGAATGTGTGAGAGGATGCATGTCAGGGTGACACAAACGGAGCCAAGGTGAGCTATCACAGATAGTAAAATCCAGCATTTTGAACCCGTTTCCAAATGCTGACAGAGCTGACGCACGCTACATTTTAGCAGAACAGGCCCAATGTCTCTGCTGCAGGCTGGAAACCTTTGGAGTTCATTTTGCTCTGTGGTGCAAATCCATGGTGACACAGGCAAACACAGCCAGCTCGGGTGGACGGCTCACGTCCTGCAAAGCTGCAAATTCTGTCCAAACAGCTAATATTGATATTTACTGAGCCTCCTATCAGCTGCGGTGTTTGATCAGGGTCTGTAATGAGAGGCAACGCTGTGAAGCAGAGAGCTGACCTCCTACTCTGCAAGCAGGATGGCCCACTGCACAGCAGCAGCCATTAATACTGGTTAAGCACACCATGGGGAGAACAAAACCAAAATGCACATTCCACTATAACCTGCCCCAGAGTTGAAGTGAATTTACTCACAAGCTGAGTAGACCCACTAGAAAAGGATAGATGCTGAAAATGAGCATGTTGCCAAGGACGTGTTATTAAGGACATGATTGAGAAAGAATATGTAGGAAGGCTTTACTGCTCACTATGTTAACTACTCTAGCTGAGGTTAGTTAGGGGCAGAAATACAGTGGAAGTATATTTATTTGACAAACTCACATGTTGGAACAAAGCCCCCTGAGGAGAAAATACCTTGAGTAAGATGACGAGTCATGAGCATCCAGTGTTGCATGAGTTAGCTGTAGTTTTAGCTCATGTTTGAAGAGGCAGCCCCCATTACCCATCCAGCATCAAAACTACTGACTTCCCTTGGCTTTTTTATTAATATTTTCAGATACATTTCTCTGCTTGCAGCTAAATCTTTGTGCCACTGATTTATTTATTTATTTATTTTTTAACACCCAAGCTATCACCTAAAAGAGTAAGCCCGCTGCAACCACTTAGGACGTTCTTTTTGTTTTTCTTTTCCTGTGGTTAATTGGACATCCATTCACTAACGCTTGTGGATACACATCGGAATGCACATCTCTAGCCTCTGTAAGAACAAATGGCATGCTAAAATGTCTGCATTTGTAAATTTAGACATAATTCAACACAACAGGGATGCATAGGGATGCACAGTTCCCATACTGGAGCATCACTACATACTATTTCTTGTAGTTTACTATTTCCTGACATTGGGTTCACTGGACATATACAGGTCTAAGTAACTCGGTAACTGACTATAATTCCTTTGGTCTACTTGGTTGGTAAGCCATGTTCGATGTTTTCTCTAAGATGTTCCTTTCCAGAGAAAGAACACGGCTAATATTATCATTAGCTACCTCCCCAAGACTCACAGTCCAAACTGAATATAATTATCTGGATCTTTATCTTACAGACGGGTGCAAACGAGCTTTGCTGGGCGGCTAGCTCTGCTCTTCGGTGCCTAAACTCTCAACAACCGAGCCAATTACACCCTCACCATGGCTATTAGGGAAAACAAAAGCAAAGCAAATCAAGGGGGAGGGAGAAGGCTAAGACAAAGGTGCTGAGTTGCTGTGTGCGAGGTATTGCTCCTCCTATGGGGACTGGGATTAAAGAGGCAGACTCCAAAGTGCTGTTGTTTAAAAGCGAGGCAGGATGATGATGAGTCCACTGCCCTTAAAATCACTCATCATCAGGAAAAACAGAAGCATACCCATTCCACAACTACTCACACACTCTAAAGATTCCACACACCCCTAACCTTCACTAAACATTTATAAAAGCACAAGCTTTGCACTCACTGAACTCTCAGCATTACAGTCACAAACACACATCACACAGTCTGAAGGACAGACGAGAAAAGACTATAGCTTTGATTAAAAAGAAAATTTATATCACTGAAATTTTGTAACACTGTACTGTATATTGTGCACTAGTGAAGGAAATTTTTGAGTCAACGATAAAAGATATAGGAAAGTTTTACCCAATACATGCATACTATTATTAGAGATTAAGAGCTTTTGCCACACAGAAGCATTAGTGTATGCACTGAGTGCATGTGTATATCCTGGTTTATACTGTTCATTTCCATTCGCCATAGCCCTCTTTAACTAGACTGAGAACTCATCACTATTACAGCTCCATCAAAGCATGAAAGCCAGAACCCTTATAATGGGCCTTTTTCTTCCCCTGACTAATTCACCTCCGACTCCAACACAGCCAAGGAGTATATCCATATTAATTCAGCTCATTCAATATTTCAGTGCCTGTCTTCAGCTGTTCAGAATTCATGGGTTGTTATTTTTATGAACTATGACCATAAAGGAAGAAGCAGTAGTAGGACTGTCGATCTCTGAACCAGCAGTGCAGGGGTACTTAACTCTGCCTCTGGAGAGATACTGTCCTGTAGAACTTCATTCCAAAGTTCCAGGCCTAATCTAACACACATTGCTCTGGGATTCAGACACTCCCTGAAGACTTTTATTAGTTGGACTGAGTGTGCTAGAAAACACACATGCATCTTCAACCAGTCTCGTCTCTTCACTTTATCAGCATTGTACACCCAGGCACGTTTCCATAGCAACTGTGTTCTTAAGGAGGTGGAAAAGGAAGGTCCCTCTTGTTCTGGAGTTTCACAAAAGGCTGGATGCCCTCGGAATCCCCCGAGCCAGGACAGAGAGCCCAAACCTGCATCTTTATCTGGATCTGCTGCAGTTGAACACATATGGAAGGACTGCTCAGCATCTTGAGTTTTGCCCACCTTTAGG